TAACTTTGATTATTTTGAGAAAATTTACCAGTGAGCATATACTTCTTATATAAATGGAAGCCATTGTCTGTGTTTAAAACAAGAAAAGTTGCCAGATGTGGTGGCACATACCTGTAATCACAGCACTTGGGAGGCTGAGGCAGGAGGATTGCCATGAGTTCAAGGCCACCCAGGATTACACAGTGACTTTAAGGCCACTCTGAACTGCACAGTGAGACCCTGTCTCAAAAAAAGTAGAAGAAGGAGGAAAAGGAGGAAGAAGAAGAGGAAGAGGAAGAAGAGGAAGAATAGGAATAAGAAGAAGAAGACCTAAGAAAGAAAAGTAGATGGACCTCAGTTTGTAGTAGGCATAGGCAATATGTTGTCTGACAGAACTTTCTGCTTTTCCAGAACACCAAACCACCAAACCATCACATATCATCATTGTCTTTTGTATAGTGAGATACAGCTGCACCTTTTCAGCAAGTGACTGATTCAGTGACTTACAACGCCCAGGGTTCTGTTGACACACTGTAGATGTAGTAGGTTTGTCTCAGGCAAAGGATGGATCATGCCATTATTCAGGATGTGTTCTTCTGAGTCCCCCCGCTCAGATTGCAAGACTTTAATGTTCTGTGTCTCAGAGCCTTGATGTTGACCAATAGGGTTAGATCTCAGATCTTGTTGCCTCTTTTAAAACCAATGGATTAAAATCCTTATTCCTCACTGCTCAGTAGATCTTGTTCCTGGGATGTTTTCTCCTCTCTGGATTGACTTAAAGACTTTCTGGAAAAAGCTGCTGGAGGTTATATACATTATGTTTCCTCCAGGGTGACTTTCCTGCCACATTTCTTTTATTTTTTCAGACAAAATATTTTCTTCTCCTTAGTCACCTTTTGAAATTCAATCTCGTGCTTGCCTATTAAGAGTAGAAGGGTCATGTAGAGGAGGAGTAGAAAGGAGCATTTGGGGCTAGAGTATGAAAAGCCTTAAAAATGTAGTGAGTTTGAAGTCTTATATTAAAGAGTGATTTAAGGTTTTTCAGTAGAGAAGTAGAATTTTAAAGTAATGTGGAATGTATGTAGGTTGGATTAGAAGGAAAGTGATTGATTGTAGGCAGAGAGATCATTTTTTCAGGAGCTATTTTAGTGATTTAGGCAAAAGAGCTTTAAAAGCACTTGAAATCTTAAGAAGGAATAAGTATATTGGTTAAAGATAAAGGCAGACATTCATTTTTTAAACAAGTAAAATGATCTGTTGATAGAATTAACATTTTAAAGCAAGACTTATGCATAAGAAAGGTGAACTACTAAGAATCAAATTGCTTTAATTTGTCTTAAAACATAGATGATTTTCATAATATTCCATAGAAGGAACTTGAATTTTTGGCATACGTTAATAAATTTGAGAGGATGGGGGATGCACATGGGCAGCTAGATTCTCAAAAGGAGAAAATGGCAGGTTCTGTGACAGAATGCCAAACTCAAAAGCAGTGTATCATCAACATTATATAATGCATTATTAAAAAACACATTTATAAAATTTTAAAAAAGAATAGATTTTGGGAGGAGCACAAGATAAAATGTTTTATAGTTAATCTGAACAAGTAAAGATAAAGGAATTGCCAGAAGAATTATGAATAAGTAATGATAGAAAATTTTTACTTTCTCATGTTGAAAATGTATCATAAAGCTTTAAAATGTATGTTGATACAAGAAACAGGCCTAAATATGTATAAGATCTTGGCATATGATAAAGGTGGCAGATTAATGAGAAAATGTAAACTGTAAATTTTCTTTTTTTAAATTTTATTTTAAAGAGAATAAAACCAAACAAAAACAGAATAAACCAATCAAAATAAAACAGTGTAAGTGATACAGGACTTCAAAACAGGGTAATAGGAACTAACAATGGTTATCATAATACCTCTTACTATCTTCAAAATTGCTCCCCATACCATCAGATGTAATAAAATCAAACAAAACAGAACAAAATAAAACCAATGAAAACAAAACATTGAATAAAACAGAACAATATTGGATTTCAAAAACAAGACAAGGAAATCCTCCGTAGTTGTTATATTACATATTGTTACCCTTTAAAATAGATGCTTAGACTACTGGCTTTAGGCTTGCAAAGTCAATCAAACAGTATAAGAATGAAGTTGTTTTTGTACTTCAGTTGCTATCAACTCAGCCTGTGATCCTCTGAATCAGCGGTTACTTACAGGGGGTGGGGCCAGGGCCTCTTGTCTCCTAGCCTACGCCCTGGCTGGCTCATGGGAAAGGCAAATTGGCTTCTGGTTTCTCTTCCCAGCCCTGCATGGCTGCTGCTGGCTCACAGGAAAGGTGAATTGGCTTCTTGTTTCTCTTTCTGGCCCTGCATGGCTGCTGCTGGCTCATAGTTAGGATGGATTCAACTATAAATTTTCTTAGGATAACTGAGTAAAAATTAATTTCTACAAGAAAAATTAAATTTCAGGTGAATTGAATATTTAAATACAGACAAGTCCTGAATGTACTAACACAAAAAGCAATACATTTTTAATGTAATTAGCTTTTTAAGTTTGATACCAGAGATAGAAACCATGGAAATAAAGTTTGGTAAAACTGGCATTAGCAAATTTAAAAGGCATTCCTGAGTGTGGTGGCACATGCTTATAATCCTAGCAGTTGGGAGCCTGACGCAGGAGGAACATCTCTAGTTCAAGGCCAGTTTGGGCTACATATTGAGTTCAAGGCTAGCCTGGACTATATAGTGAGACTGTGTCTCAAAAAACTAAACAAATATAAAAGGCATATTTTAAACCATAGGAAAATTGCTAAATAAAAGTAAGAGTTAATTTAATGTAGAAATAATTCTTTATAGAAACACCATTCTAGAAGAAATTCAATACTTCAGTAGAAAGATGGACAAAGTGGAAAACTGCAAAGGCAGAAATTCACATAATCATTAGTATACAAAAATAAGTGTATACTGATAAAGAAATGTGTATATATATATATATATATATATATGTATGTATACATGATATAGGTACATGTTTTAAGTTTCTGAGATAAGGTCTCACAGGGTGTTCAGGCTAACCTTGGATTTGCGATGTAGCCTAGACTGGCCTCAAACTCCTGATCTTTCTATCTCAGCGTTCTAAGTGCTAGGATTAAAGACCCATGACATCACACAAAAATATATTTTAAAGAGATGAAATACTAGAGTGTTTGTGTGTAGTTTTTGTTTGTCTGTTTGTTGACCAGTCATCTCACATAGGGTAAAAAGAATGATGAGATAGAATTGGTGAGTGATATCAAGATAGCCTTATGCTGCTGACAGATTAAAAACTGGTAGTTTTTCTTGAGAACAACTTGGCAGTAGGAAATCCTTCAAAAGTTTATATCCTTTGATACCAGACACTTCCATAACTTTGTGGAGAATGAGAGCATGGAATGTATTTATAAAGGAACTCGATATAGCATTATAATGAATGCTCTAATGGAAATAGCCTAAATGTCCATTTATACAGTAGAGTACCCTAGAGCTGTTAATGATGAAGATGTAGATACATTATTATAAAAAGATGTTCACTATATGTTGTGCAGTGAGAAAAGCAAGCATTCAAATACTGTTTAGGGCTGGGGGTGTGACTTAGTAGAGAGCACTTACCTAGCATTCACAAAGTCCAGGGTTTCTTAACACTGCAAAGAACAACAGAACAACAACAACAACCACAAAAATGATTCCAATTCTCTCATTTTGAGGAGGATCCTGGAGTCTGTTTTTAAATTTGTTCCTATTTCCTGTTTGGGCACAGATGCTGGAAGAAACCAATGCTGTATATTGTAAACTGACAAATATCCTCCTTTTCTTTTCCTTTCTCTTTCTCACCTATGGTTAGAAACTTACGTTGATCATACGTTTGCTCCAAATCAAATATAACTTGGCAGCGCGCAGTGCATCACCTTCACCTTTAGAGCATTCAGTTACATACTGTGGGTGAGAAGGGTAGGGATAGTGGTAGGGTGGGAGACAGGAAGAGAGAAAAGTCTTCGCTTCATTACTCTTTTTCCCTCTCTCACATCTCCCTTCCAGCAATAGACCTTATTTTTCACTGTCCCGGAGGAAAGAAACTAGACAATTCTTAGCCTTTGATCATTTAATGACCCATTTAAAGGAAACTAAATTAAATTTTTTGTGATACTAGGGTGTGAATCCCAGGCCTTTTTTTTTTTTTTTTTTTTTTGGTACCAGGATTGAACTCATGACCATGCGCTTGCAAGGCAGGTGCTTATGCCACTGAGCTAAATTCCCAGCCCCTATTCCAGGCCTTTATTTATTTTGAAATAGTCTTGCTCAGTTACCCAGACTGCCCTTGAACTTTTGATCCTCCTGCCTCAGGGTCCCAGGTAGCTGGAATTACAGGCATTCACCACCTTGCCTGGCTAAAGTAACTCTTGAGGGTAATTTTCTCTATCAAATTTTTGGCTTCTTATGAAAAATTGAGTGTACCCTACCCCATCTGGCATGGTTCAGCTTTCTGGAGTCTTTATTTTCGCTTTCTGTTCCCAAGCAGGTCTGGCATCTTATTGGCCACATTTTGGGTGCTCTTTTCTCTCTATACTTTTGAGAATTGCTTTAAATTCCTATTTCCTCCTCTTTCCTGTCCCAGTCAATTTCACTTACTGCAAAGTGGCACCCTAAGTCTTATCAGCTCTGTAAACCTTCCTTGAATTCACCAGTATACAGTATTTACTGTCTCTCTTTTCTGAATTCTTTTGTGTTGTCTGTGTGACCTAAGATAATGTTCATACAAGGCCTGTGTAACATATAGGATGGTTTCATTCATTTTTTACTCTTCTTTGCAAGTAAACTTTTTCTTAAGGCAGGGATATTACAGACCTTTGGTTACACATGGATCAAGTACATTGTTTAGGATAAGCACTCAGCAAAACTTGTTGTTCCTCAGTACTTAATCTTAAGAGTGAATTATATCATAAAAACTGCAATTTTTTTTCCCTTATGTTTAGATCATTCAGTCCTTGGTGTTTCTGCTGTTGGCTACGCTTTTCAGTGCATTAACTGGTTTGCCATGGAGTCTTTATAATACATTTGTGATAGAAGAAAAGCATGGTTTCAATCATCAGGTATAATAGAAAATAACAATTTTTTTCTTTTGTTTTTAATGTGAAAATTTTTTTTGCTTCTGGGCCGATAATAATTCGCTACTTCAGAGCATGACTTAAATGAGAAAAAAAGAACTACGGCTATGGTAAAAGTCATAAAGTCCTGGTATAAACTCTTAAAGCACTAATGTTTTATTTTTCAGCTATAGCATTGAAGTGAATTTATTGCAAACTATGAAGTGCAAACTTTATACTTAGTCTTAACGATCTACCGTCATATAAATATAGTTCCACTGCATGTTAGTTGGGTTTTTTTGTTGTTGTTGTTGCTGTTGTTTTTGTTTTGTTTTGGTTTTTGGTACTGGGAATCTAACTCACAACCTCACGCTTGCCAGGCAGGTACTTATGCCACTGAGCTAAATCCCTGGCCTCATGTTAGTTTCTAAATTGCTGTAATAATGCTTTCATTTTATTCACTTACTATTTATTTAAAAAGCAAAAACAGTTTCTCAGTTTCTCATGGCATTATATTCTTTTTTCAGACTTTGGACTTTTTTATGAAAGATGCAATCAAGAAATTTGTTGTGACTCAGTGTATCTTATTGCCTGTGTCTTCACTTCTGCTTTACATTATTAAGATTGGGGGTGACTATTTTTTTATTTATGCCTGGCTGTTCACATTAGTTGTCTCTCTGGTGAGTAACATCTTCATTTTGCTTTATAAAAGTTTCTTGGTAAGATTTCTGTGGCTTAATCCTCATTAGTATGTTAACAGCTCTTACAAGGATGAACTGTAAAGATGTACTCATAAATTTACCTCTTGCTTTCTGTTTTTGGGTATAGCTACAAAAGAATTGACTGACCATAAATTTGTTCAAATTTATGCTAACTCTTACAGATTCTGGAACACAGGTCTAGAATAGTTTTAGTGATCCAGCTGCCAAGTAGTTTTGGGCATATATATTTATGAGCTGCCAACAAATTGATGGCTGAGTGTGGTAATGTAATGATTTTTAACTGACCTGTGCCTAAAAAGTGTGAATGTTATGAAGAGAGAAGAGATTTAAGAGTGACCACAGAAAGAAAGCACACACTTAGTGGCTTTTTCTGTCCTCCTCTCTGCCTGCCCTTCTCCTTTTCCTTTCTTACCCTTTCTCTGTTCCCTTCCCCATCTTTCTTTTACCCATTCTTTAGCGTTTTATTTCCCTTTCTCCACCTCCGTGTTCTGTTCTCTCCTCTTCCTCTCTTTTCTTTTCAACCCTTTCTCCCCATTTTTCCTCCCTTAGATCTTCTGTCTCCTTCTCGTTCTTCTCCTTTTCTTTGTCCTTCTCCTCTTCCCCCTCTCTTCCTCCTTTCACTTCTCTTCCTTCTCCTCCTTATCATGTTCCTTTCTCCTTTCCCTCCTCCTCTTTCTTTCTTTCCTAACCCTTCCTCTTCCCTCCTGTCCCCTCTTCTTCCCTTCTCCTTTCCTTTCTTCTCCTGCTCTCCCTCCTCTTTCTCCTTCTCCTCCTCTTATTTCTTTTCTTGCGTCTTCTCAGTGTTAGGAATTGAACCAGGGCTTCACACATCTGAGGCTCTACCTCTGAGCTGCATCCCCAACTTTAATATCTTTTCCTTCTCCCATATTTCAAGCTGCTTCACCACACAAAAACTACATTATGAACCATCCCTGAAACATATCTGTCAGCTCTTCAATTTCCCTGACAATGAGGTTTGTTTTAATCTGAATTATTTGATGCTCATTGCTTGGCTTCTCATTGGTGAGATCAAGATTTGAAAATGGGTGCTAGTTGAATTTACAAATATCTGTTGTACGGCAAACTGAAGTAAGAGGAAGGAAAGCAGAGGCAGTACTCCCAAGAGTGGTGAAGAGGATGTTGTTTCAACTAGAGTGTACAGTTATGAATGGCAGCTAATTTCACCAACCAATTAACAGTTCTAATGGAAACATATAGACACAGCATACCTAGTCAAACTCTTTAATGCTTGTTTAGTAATGACTTCCAGTCTATCATAATTACTCTAAAACACTGAGTATGGTGGCACAGGCCTGCAATCCTAGCAGTTGGATGGCTGAGGTAGGAAGACTACAGCAAGTTTGAGGCCAGCCTGAGTTACATAGTGAGTCCAGGCCAGACTGAACAACATTACAAGACCCCATATCAAATAAAAAGAAAATCACAAAACAAAACACTGTAAAAGGCAGAGTTGTAATTTATAATTGCCTTAAAAAGTTCCAGGAATCACCAAGATAGTACTGAAAGGTCCATTACCACTTAGAGATCTTAATCACTGTTAGTAGTACAGTATTATTTTCTAAGATAAAATTGGCTGGTGTACTGTTTTGTCAAACTACTACTTTGACTTAATTCATCCAAGGTTCTAAACTCTTACTGTCTGGGACTATTTGGGACTAGGAATATCAGAGTAAGTAAATTCTTTGTTTTCAGGTTTAGGATGGATGCAGTTAGTTCAATGCAGTTAAATGTGAAAAATAATGAGTAGTTTTTTTTTAAAAAAATACATTCATAGGTTGTTCCAACATTTACTTTTCAGGTGCTTGTCACAATCTATGCTGATTATATTGCCCCTTTATTTGACAAATTCACACCTCTGCCTGAGGGAAAGCTTAAACAAGAAATTGAAGTGATGGCAAAGAATATTGATTTTCCTTTGACTAAGGTGTATGTTGTTGAAGGTAAGACTATTTGGGGATAAGGTTTTGTTGAAGAGGCTTTTTTGAGATTTTATTCGTAAAATTTTAATGTAATATGTCAGTAGTTTGTTACTTACGTATTAGGATAATATTTTACATTTTGGCTTTTTAAGATTTATAGGAGTTGGTGACATAATTCACATATAGAAACTGGTTGCCTGAGTTGCACATGCTTATATTCTCAGCACTCAGAAGGCTGAGGTGGGAGGGTTGTTGCAAGTTTGAGACCAGCCTGAGCTACAAAAGACCAAAAAAAAGAGAGAGAAAAGAAAAGAAGAAAGATTGTCTGATGCCAAATCTTGTTCTTGCCTGAAGCTATGTTTGGTTAACTTTACAGTATTATTTTTAATCTTGACCAGGCCTTTTTCACACCTTGTTGTATTATATTGTATACTAAGATGATTTATTCATTTCTGTTATCTGTATGGCTCCTTTGGGTAATTGAGTTGGACTCCTAAGTAGTCAAATTTTATTTAGCATTCATTAGTTTGGAGTGTCTAAAACAAAAGCAAAACCAACATTATTGATGTTGTCTCTCCAACAAAGCATCTCGTGTTCAGGAGGACTCTGTTTAACCTGTAGGTTACCAAAAACTGTAAGTACCATCAAGTACTTCAGATTAGTCATACTTTGCTTTTCTGATAACTGCCTTTGAGAGTTAGGCTGTTTGCTTGCGTAAGACTAGTAAAGCCTCAAAGGAAGCCTGTAAAGATGTAGAGAAAAACTGTAAGGTACTAAAGATCTATAACCTAAAATCTCTACAAATGAATATATCTGATTTTACCTCTGCAACTTACCAGCTATGGGATCTTAGATAGATCATCCCTCTGGGTTTCACTTGCACTATTCTCTAAATTACAGTTCGGCAAATGTTTTCTATGAAAGGCTAGATAGTAAATATTTAAGTTTTTGCAAGCAACAATTCTGCTGTTGTAGTGCAAAGCAGCTACAGACAGTGCATAAACACACAAACATAGCTGTATTCCAGTACAACTATAAAAATAGCACTGTGATGGATTTGGTCTGAAAGTCGTAGTTTGCTAACACCTAACCAGTGAGAAGCAGCTACATTAGATGAAGGAGTAGTTGTAGAGTAAGGGGAGAATAAAGATGGTCTCAGCTGAAGAAAAGGAATTAACAGCAATTAGAAGCGTATAGAAGTCTCAGACATTCAGTAGTTTTTGAAGCTAAACAACTAACCAAAGGCACAATCAGAACAGCTTAAGATTCTGTGGGGGAAATGTTAGAATAAATCGCTTCATATTTTCTTAGCTTCTAAAACCACTATATTGTTAGGTAATAATAAACTAATAGCACAATGAGGCAGTAGAACAGTCTCTAAGGGGCTTTTACTGAAGAGGCTCTAAATTGTCGATCATTTAAATTATAATTAGGTGGTATGAAGCAGCTAATGATAATCACAGTAAAAGTAATCAATAAAATGTATGCTTATATCATCAGTGCTATTTTCTATATCAGAGGAAATACTTAGGGAAGGCTTTCTGGAGGGTTATGATGTAAGCTGGGGCTTTATGGAAAATTAGGTTTTGAATAGGTTGAAGGTAGCATTTTGGAAGTTAGGTTTTGGTTTGGGTTTGAATCTTAGCTCTATCATGAATTACCTATGTGAATTTGGGCAACCTTACTTTTACTAAGTAGCATTTTATTCTTCTATAATGCATGTTTTCTTGTTATTAGCAATAGTAACAATCCTTAAAAATATTTTGAGTGAATGAATGTTACTAATAGTACAGCATACAGGGGCTGGGGATTTAGCTTAGCGGCATAAGCGCCTGCCTCACAAGCAGGCAGTCGTGAGTTCGATCCCTAGTACCGATAAAAATGAAAAAAAGGAAAAAAAAAAAGTACAGCATACATTATAGAATCATAAATTAACAGGGATATTACAAGGAAAAGCCAAGAATCCTACTCTTAAGAAATATCAGGTAGCAGATACAGTGCAGACAACTAGACTAGCTTTAGATTGAGCCATCAGAGAAGATTTATCTGGACAAATGACTGAAGGTAGGAGTCATCCACATAGAGATCACAGAAAGACTGAACTTAATGTCTTTGCGGACCATGAACAAGTCCAGTGTGGCTGCAGTGAAGCAAGAGAGTACAGTATTATGAGGTAAAATCACAGACAAGAATCAGACCCTAAGGGCCTTAGTAAGTCAGGGAAAAGGGTTTGGAGTTCAAATTCAGCAGAAACCATCAAAAAGCTTTAAGTAGAAAAATGATGTAGTGTAACTTGTATTTCTTAAACTGTCTTGGGCTGTTATACGGGAGTACATTGTAGGATGAAGTAAGAGTGGAAGAAGAGAGAACAGTTAGGAGACTGTTGCAGTAATCCATGTAGGAAATAATGGTTTGTTAGGCTAGAATAATAGTAATTTATGGAGAGAAATGATAGGTGTTAGAGATAGAGTTGATTAAATTCATAATGAATTGCATTTCAGGAAAGAAGAAAAAGACCATTGAAGATAGCAGCCTAGATTTTTGGTGTGGGCAGTTGGTAAATGGCTATTTTACTGAGGGAAAAAAAAAACAAGAAAAGGTCAGTTTTGTGAGGATAAATCCTACAAATTAGGATTTTAAAAAATTGTTATTCACAGTTTGCAAACAATAGCAACTAACAGTGGTTCATCTGAGCTGAAAATTGGCTTAAGAATCAACATTTAGTAGCTTACAAAATCTCTGCAGAAAGTTTACCAACCTTGCAAAATGGGTTGTTATGCAGGAAGGTTAGAAAACCAGTTGTACAGCCAAATCCGGCTGGGGAAGACACGTTGCCACCTCAGAACTCTGGATTCAATGGTTGGTTTGTACCCTTCTCATTCCTACCACTAGCACCTGTAATTAGCTCTTGACAGTCTTGCTCCTTTGTGTAATTACTGACTATACAGAAGCCCCAGTGGATGTGTCTGACTGACTCAGCCAGGGATGAGGCTAACTGCCAGGAGTGCTGGGGAAGCAAATACCTACCTGGCTTCTTAGGTTTCTCAGTGCAAAGTGACCTCTCACAAGACTCACATGGTGTGAAATTCCCTGGACTCCAAAGGAGGTTCTAATATTGGACAGGAAAAAAGTACATAAGAATGCAAACTGTAAATCTGTCTGTAGACATCCTTGTGGGGATGTCAGACAGGCAGACTGGCTACATGAGTCTGGAGTTTGAGGGAAGGGTCAGGGTGTGGAATAGAGGTTGGAACTATCTGGCATGCAGATGACATTTAAGGTCATGGATGAGAGCATTTAAAGCAGAGAAAGAGGCCAGGGTCAGCGTCTTCAGGGGAGGAACAGCCAGCAAAAGAGGCCAAGGAAAAGAACATTGAGGTAGTAAGACTAAGACAAAATGATGTCTAAAAAGCCAGGAAAAAAAAGTGTTTCCAAGAGAAAATGATTTTCAGTGTTAAATGTTGCCTGGAGATTTAAGTGAGATATCATAAGCAAAGGATTAAGACACAGGTGGCAATGGCTTATACTGATTTCAGAATTTTTTAATATCTTATTTTTCAAGTGATATCATTAGCCCATTCAATAAACAAACATTATTAAAGATACACCCTGTACTAGGCATAGCAATAAAAAAATTTTACAGTCTATTACAAGAACTCCTAGTCTCCACTCCTAGAAATTCTGATTTAGTGGGTATTTCTTTTATCTGTTTCTAATAGGCACCCTAGGTGATTTTGGTAGGTATTCCTTTGAACCATACTTTGAGAAATCTGGGCCAATAGAAGATAAATTTTAAATATCTGTATACAATCTGCCTAACTTCCACAGATAGCTTCAGAAAGCGCCAGAGTATTTTTAAAATACGTTTAAAAATTAAGGTCACAGAAGACAGATGCATTAGAAGCATGAGACCTTAGAATGGTAACACAATTTTCTAAGGCCTAAATCCTATCTTATTGACAAAATTGTTTTTGTTGTTATTGTTTTTGGAACTAACAATTGAACTCAGGATCTTGCAATTGCCAAGCAGGTGCCATGCTGCTAAGTTCTACCCCCAGCTTATGGACAAAATTGGGCCATATATTTAGCTCTTAACTTCCAGGCAACCAAGCACAAAAGTGATAGAATAGTGCAGTCAGTCAATCTATTTATCGAAACTTTTCATATTCTAAACATACTGCCAAGTTCTTAACATTAGAAATAGGTATAGACCGTGGGAGCAATGAAACCCAAAATGTGTAATAGTCATGGTACAAAAGAGAGGAAAAGAAAGTGCTCCAAACTATATAACTGCATGTATATTTAAGTGTATAAGATAGAAAATGATATCAGAGTTTTATTGGATCAATGAACGGAACTGTTTGCAGTATCATTGATGGAATGTCCACTTTACAAGCTTTAATTTTATGACTTGAACAATTATTTCTAAGATGACAATATGTAATCCATTAACTAGTGATTTCCTACTGTTCATTTTTTTTCTGTAAATCTGTACAACTTGTACCCTTTCCCTGTTTTTTTTTTCTTTTCTCCTTAAATAAAATAAAAAAAAAAATTAAAAAAAAAAAAAAGAAATAGGTATAGAAGCAAAATTCACAGTCTCAAAACAAACAAATCTTTTATCATTTCTTTTTTTAAACACATGATAGTGTGTTTTGTCAATCAGGCTATAGACTAATTGCCCTCCTTAGAATACCTCCTGAGGTGGCTGTTAGCCTCACTTTATAAATAGGAAACTAAAGGCTAAAGTTTCCTGAATATATACAACTAATACATGCAGAGCCAAGATTTAAACCCAAAATCTGTTCTCTTAACAGCTAAACTCTGCACATTGAAGGACACTTGGAAATTAAGAAATATTTACAGGAGAAAAGAACAAAACAACCATAGTTCAGCTAATGTTAGTCACTTTTTAAAATTTACGTGTGTTTTCTTTCTTTCTTTCGAAAGATAGCTTTAACTACTTAACAGTTTACCTGAGCAGTTTATCATTTGGGCAGCACATTTATTTATGTACTGACTGTCTTGAGCACTGCTTGGGCAGGTGTTATTTCAACCAGTTGAGTCTTGTACTGAATAAATTTGATAAAGTTTATCATTTCTATATATCCTCTTACAAAAATTAACTAAAAAATGCAGTTTTTGCGCAGTCTGTATTTAATCAAATTGGTGACTAATGTTTTTCCAATTATAGAAATAAGTATGCTTTTTTTTTTTTTTTTTTTTTTTTTTGGTCTTTTTCCTTTTTATCGGTACCAGGGATCGAACTCACGACTGCCTGCTTGCAAGGCAGGTGCTTATGCCACTGAGCTAAATCCCCAGCCCAAATGTGCTTATTTTAAAAGGCTTAGAAAAGAGAAAAATAAAAGAGGAAATAAAAATCCATTCTGGATCCCAGTGATAAACACTTCAGTATTTTGGTATATTTCTTTATAGGCTTAGGTTTATGCTTTTCTATTTAAGTTTTATATCGTTTGCAATATATCAGTGTTCTTTGTCTTGTTAAAATTCTTTTAAAGAATAATTTTTTCTGACTACTTAAAATTTCATTTAATAGCTTTACCGTACTTTAATCATTCTACATTCATTAGGGTTATTTTACCTATTGCTATAAAGCTGTGGTGAGCATTAAATATTTGTTGACAGGAATGCAGGGAAACACTCTCCACTGTTGTTGTTTATTTATATTGATACAATTTCTTTTCAGGTATGAAATAATTTCAAAGTGTTAATGATCTTCCCAGTAGTTCAGTTTCTAGGAGTCTTTCCAAAAGACCCCAGACTTTTTAATTATATTCCATGCTTTAAACTGTCTTTTCCTTAGGATCTAAACGCTCTTCCCACAGCAATGCTTATTTTTATGGCTTCTTCAAGAACAAGCGAATAGTTTTGTTTGACACTCTACTAGAAGAGTACTCAGTACTAAACAAAGGCATCCAAGAGGACTCTGGCATGGAACCCCGCAATGATGGAGAAGGGGACAGTGAAGAAATAAAAGCTAAAGTTAAAGTGAGTGCTTCTTCTTCTTAAGAGACTCTTAGTTTTTATACACAGTGCCTGTGACTAATCAACACCAGCTTCTAGTAAGTGTCGAATTCAGGGAGACCACCAAGTAAAAACAGTGTGGCCCCTGTACAGTTCTGGTATTTTGGAGAGCTTACCAGTAGAAATACATGGTAACTATCTGGTAGGCTTTTGCAGAATGTACATATATTAAAATCAGAAGTTGTTGTAAGATAAGGAAATTCATAAAGAGGAATCAGGATATATAATGTCCAGGTACAAATTCCCTGTGATGAATCTGATCATTATGTGTATACAAATTGTACCAAAAAATTTAATTTAAAAAAAGAAAATTCATATATTAATAAGCTATCTATGTGTTCCTGATATGTTTATGATCAAAGAATCTCACAGGCAAGATAAAACAGAAGATAAGCGTTTTTTAGCTTGAGACAGCAATTACAGGCCTTGTCAGTGGAAAACCTTGGATTGTAGTCCCAGTTCTGTCATTTAGTACTATGTGTTCTTTGGTATATTATATAATTTAGTCAATTTTGTTTAACATGTATTTAGGAAATAACGTCCTCTGTGCAGAGATACTTAGTTTGGTACTAGAAATACCAGAGGAGAGAGGCAAACCTTAATAAACTTGTAGTGTAAAGAGGACACAGTCACACAAGTCCACCTACATGGAATTGCATTGGGAGGCTTTAAATACTGGACACATGGGAGCACGATCAAAGCACACATTCTTAAATCTGACCTGAAAGTCTGAGAAAGCAGCTTCTGAATTCTTTCCCGGATGAGACTTGCTTATGCTTCCTGGCAACAGTTAAAGTACCAAGAATAGATGGGAGAAACAGGCAATATTGTCAAATAATACAAATTTCAGCATAAACAATTAGTACCTCTGTGTGTGGTAGCATGGAGATGGCTTTGTTGTTGCACAGAGATGATTTTCAATCTGTTCATTTACCATCTGTGTGGCTCTGAGCCAGTTAAGCTTTCTAAATCTTTCATTTCTTAGCTGAAAGATGAGGTCAAAAAGATTTCTAAACCTGAATAACTTTGTTGTTGTAGAAGAGGATATTTAGCAGTGTGTCACTGGCTTCTTTGCACTTGTGACCAGTGAAACTCCTCCGACTCCCCCCAAATTATAAAAACCAAATATCAGGCTGGAGGTTTAGCTCAGCAGATAAGTGTCTGCTTGGTAAATGCAAGATCATTAGTTCGAACCCAAAAAACAAAACAAAACAAAAAAACCAACCAAATATCACCAGATATCCATGAAGTATGTGTGGGCAAGGGAACAAGATATCCCCATGTTGGAAAATACTGTACTAAACATGCCCACCTTTTAGGATTATGAGATGTAAATAAAATATGTGAAATGGCTTATACGCTATATATTTTAAGTACTAGAAGATAATGATTATCATTTGAGATCTGTTTTGACTATAACAGATGATTTAATAAAGTGCCTATCCTGTTCTAAATAACTATATGAAACGAAATCCTATGGAGGGATTAAATAGCATTGTCGAAGATTAATACCTTTGATAATATTTCTTTTTTTTTTTTTTTTTTTTTTTTTTTTTAATTTTTTATTTTTTTGTCTTTCTCATTTTTATTGGTACCAGGGATCAAACTCACGACTGCCTGCTTGCAAGGCAGGAATTTATGCCGCTGAGCTAAATCCCCAGCCCCGATGATATTTCTTTTTAAGTGGCATTATCCTGGTAGATGGGATATTTGAATAAAAACCACTTTGGTCTGCTCAAATGTAATAGAATTTAAAGCTGAATAGATTTTAAGATCATTTTATGGACAGGAGAACTGCAGTCCAAAAAGGGTAATTTGGTCATTCTTTTACAATACTGGAGATTCTCACAAGCTTAGCAACTGCATATGAGGCACATACAGGTGGGTATGTCATAGTTAAACCTATACATTAGCTAGTGATCTAATAGTGTCAAACAGGACAGTGAAAATATCTATGAGGACAAGTTTCTTTAACTACAAAAACAATTGGGTGGTAGTTCGTAGTATGCTGAATGGGATTTAATATCCTATGCTGGCTTCTTTTTATTGGTACTGGAAACTGAGCTCATGACCTTGCACTTGCCAGGCAGGTGCTTATACTGCTGAGCTATATTGTGCTTGCTTTATTTCACTGATTAACTACAAATGTTTTAGCATCTATATGCAAGTTACACGATAAATACATTAGATATAACCCATACTACTAAGTAAATAGCCCATGTTTAAGGTATAGTTCGGTAAAGATAATGTGACTAAAATAGTATAGCTTTTAGAAATTCAGGTACAGATTTAATAGTCACATAGGTTTTTTTAGAAGAGAAGATATGCTGAGTGTGACTGTGCTTACCTGTAATCTAAGCATGCAGAAGGCTGAGGCAGGAGGATCTGAAAGTTCAAGACCAGCCTGACATAGTGAGACCCTGTCTCAAAAAAAAGGATGTAAGAACTAGGCTGAATTTTGACTTGAAGATGGGGCTTTTGGCTTAAAGCTAAAATGAATAAAGATGTGGAGACAAAATAATTCCTGCTCTGGGGCTGAGGATTTAGCTCAGTGTTACAAGCACCTGCCTGGCAAGTGCAAGGTCATGAGCTCAATCCCCGGTACCAAAAAATAATAATAACAATAATAATTCCTCCTCTGAGACTAATGATTAAATGAATTTGCACAAATAGAAGTAGAAAGGTAGGCCAGGACCAGTTTGTAGAATACTTTTTCCTAAAAACATGGAGTGGTTGTTTCCATTGGCCTGGAAAGTTTAGATTGATTGGGCTAAAGGGCAGTTTTCTTGTTTTCAAATTAAATTTGGTGGCAACACATTGGAGGCAGAGCGACTTCAAGGGCCTACTTGAGACAAGCATAAAACAGTGAGGGCTTACCCTAGAATGTGAGATCTGAATAAGTGCAAGACCTAAAATAAAGGGCTGATTTGAAGTATTTGGTAGTTGCTGTTAGAGGCCTGAAGAAAGGGTGAGAGGGGGATAATCCAGGGCAATCCGCAGTCAGGTCCACGTCTGTGCCCTCCGAGCGCCTGCTCCTCATGCCTCAGGCCCTGAGTTCAGTGCATACCAGAGAGGGGTGAAGTGGTGGAGAGAGGAGAAGATTAGTAAATAGAGAGTATATGGATATAACAAGTTTAAGAATGTGATTTATTCAGCATCTGCTACTGATAGCTTACTGTGTAGAGTGCAGTGAGGGATTCAATGACAGTTTGAGTTTGGATTATTGGAGAAGATGTAGCTCTCCCTGTCCATTCCCCAGAGCTGGGGATAGAAAGCAGGTCCTTACACATGCCAGCCATGTAAATGTTCTACCACTAAGCTACATTCCTGGCCCAAGCTTTTTTTTAATTTTGCTTTGTTTCTTGGTGATAATAGGAATCAAATACAGGATCTCATGAAAGCCCTTTAACTATGTCCCCAGCCCTGTTTTTTGGGGACATGATCTCACTATGTAGTTCACTTTGGCATCAAACTCACTTTAGCCCAGGATGGTCTCAAACTCATGATCCTTCTGCCTTGGCTTTTTTAAGTTTTATTTTGAGGCAGAATCTCGCTGATTTATTCAGGCTGAACTTGAACTTGCCATCTTCCTGCTTTAGGTTCCCAAGTAGCTGGGATTACAGACATAAATCACCACACCTGGCCCAAGCATTTTATTTTTAACAGAAGTTTAAAGAAAAAAGCTTGTATTAAAAAAAAAAACCAGCTTGAATGCAAAAAAAATTAAGATGTATTATGCACATGTACCAGCTCCCCATGATGAATGTAGTGTTTATGTATTGCAAACACATACTACTAAACATTTTTTTTTTAAAAGGCTAGTTAAGTGAAGCAGTGGGAGTGGAGAAGGAACAAAGATATCTGTAACTGGTTGTGATCAATTAGTTGTAAACACCACTGCACTTGGACCAACCTAGTAAACATTTTTTTAAAAAGAAAAAAATTAGGGCCCAAGGATATAACAGGGTGCAACACCTGCCTGACAAGCACAAGGTCCTGAGTTTGAGTACCAGGACCCACAAAAAAGAAAGAAACAAAGAAAAAGAAAAAAAAATTACAGTTACCTAAAATTGCTCCTCTTAGGAGAGAGTAACTACTGCTTAGGAATAGGTAATTACTGTAACATTTTAATGACAGTCTCTATCCTTGCTATTATAAGAGATACCTGGATATTTACTCTCTGAAATTTTACCCTTCAGAAGACAAATAGAATAATGCAGTTTAAATAAGGAACAATTAAAGATATATAAAAGCTATATATGAAAGCTATCCTTTTGTTTAAGAAAGCAACTATTTTCCCAGCAAGTGCTAGAATTATGTGGAAGTCCAACTGTTAACTAGAATAAAAAGGAAGTAGGCTTTTCCCATCTACTTACCTACTGCTTGCCAGCAAGATGTCATTTCTCAGCTTTCTTTCCTTTATCTCTAAAATAATGATAATATCTCTTGTCTTGTCCAGCTTGGAGTTAAAGGATAAAACAAGGCAGTATATTAATTTTATACAAAGGAAATTGCTATAGAAAAAGAAGTAAGTGGGTACTCATTTCTGTTCTTTGGTATAAAATTAATGGGGAAAAAAGGAAAATCCACTTCAGTTTAAGAATCTACCATAAATCATTAAGACTTCTTTCTGTGCACAGTGACCCTTGTTAAGCTGTCTTGGTTCTAAATCAGAATAACTTTGACTGTGACTCCCGTGCTGTTTTTAAACCCAGGCTTCAAACCAAGAGACAAGAGCCTATACTAAGGTATCTAATATAAGATCGGTTGTTTTATAAAAAGAACTCATAATTCATATTGCAAATCAGGTGACTGGAAAAAGCAGGAGTCTAATACCTTTTTTTTTTTTTTTTAAATATAAAACAAGGCTAAGAAGCCAGACATGGTGGCACACATCTGTGATCCCAGCACTAGGGGAGGCTAAGGCAGGAGATTATAAATTTGAGTTCAGCCTGGGCACCTTA